ACAAAGCTCGTAAAAGGAGTTTGTCTGGTTTGGATAAAAGGAAGCTGAGGGGCAACCTCATCACCCTTGACAGCTTCCTAAGGAGGGGAATTGGAGAGGGAGGCATTGATCTTCTCTCCCTGGGACCCAGGGACAGAACACGTGGGAATGGTTCAAAGCTATGGCAGGGAAGGTTTAGACTGGACACTGGGAAGCATTTCTTTACCAAGAGAGTGGTAACACACTGAAACAGCCTCCTAGAGAGGTGGTTGATATCCCAAGCCTGCCAGCGTTTAAGAGGCATTTGGTGCCTTAATGCTTTTGATAACATGCTTATACTTTTAGTCAGCCCTGAAGTGATCAGGCAATTGGACTAGATGATAGTGGTAGGTCCCTTCCAATTCAACTCAGATATTCTAGTCTAGCCTAGTCTACTCTATCCTGCTCCGCTCCATTCCATCCCATTCTATCCCACCATCATGAGAAAGCTCCTTCTTGTACAAATATGAAGGTGTGTGACCTCCCCATGTCTTTGGTGTCATTCATCTAGCTAATGTTCCTCTGGTGCTCAAGAATCTGCCATGCTCCTGGCACGCAGAAAGGGAACTAACAGAGTTCCTTTGAGAGTCAGCAAATACATGACCCACCTAGGAGATGCTCAGTTTGGAAAAAGCTACATTTTAACCTGCATACAGGATCCCTTTAACCCTGCTCCAAACCGTTATTAAGGCTGTGTGGAGACCTCGTAGAAGCCTTCCAGTATCTGAAGGGGGCCTATAGGGATGCTGGGGAGGGACTCTTCATTAGGGACTGTAGTGATAGGACAAGGGGTAACGGGTTCAAACTTAAACAGGGGAAGTTTAGATTGGATGCAAGGAAGAAATTCTTTACTGTAAGGGTGATGAGGCACTGGAATGGGTTTCCCAGGGAGGTTGTGAATGCTCCATCCCTGGTGGTGTTCAAGACCAGGTTGGACAAAGCCTTGGGTGCCATGATTTAGTGTGAGGTGTCCCTGCCCATGGCAGGGGGGCTGGAACTGGATGATCTTAAGGTCCTTTCCAACTCTAACTATTCTATGATTCTATGATTCTATTGTCATTATTATTTTCATTTAGGCTTGATGACATATCACAAGAGTTCCAGAAAGGACCATAATGCAGGTTTGGTCAACTTCACCCTGATACAAGAAGAGGGAGAACAGAGAATAACAACATGGGATATGTGACAGAAGAATTGGATATCAGGCAGATAGCAAATCATAATTTGATGTTTATCTTTTTAGCAGTTAAGATCTTGTATTGTGAAAGGTTAGATTGCAAAACATGAAAGCAAAGAGCTGCAATACTGTCGATGCCCAACTTTATATTTAAGGGGAGTACCAGCCAATAAGACAAGTAGCTTTGTCTTCAGATTACTGGAGCTGCTTATACCAAATGTATTGTTTCGTTGTGAACACTGGCTGATACAATAGCAATTATTACTATTATCAGCATTTGTATCAGAGTATGTGTACAGCCTGATACAATAGCATTATTACTATTATCAGCATTTGTATCAGAGTATGTGTACAGGCTGATACAACAGTAATGCCATGAGCGCCACACAACCCATGTAATGATCAGTTCCCTCTCTGCAGAGGTTGTGGCTCATTCTTAAGTAATTAAAGCTTCAGTTATCCAAGGGGTTGACATACATCCATTAACAGCCTGGCTACCATTTTAGGTGCTTGAGGGTAGGTTTTCAATCCTAAAGCTTCAGTTAAGCTGTTGCCTGTCTCCTGGAATCGGCACATTCCCTGCGCTGTTCAATACCTCTCACTAACGTTCCCAAACACCAGTTCCTGAATCATGTACAGAAGTTGTTTAGAGGTTGTTTTTAACATCACTGGTGGCAGTCTAAGGGCACACACATCTTTCACCCAGTCACGAAGCAAACTGGGGGCAGTCGAGTGGCTGGGTGCCCTAATGTAATGAAAACCTCAGGGGAAAAACTTTTTCTCGCACTGATCCAGTGGTAGCTGCAGCTTTGCAACAAAAATGACATGAAAAGAAGGTAATTTTCTATACAAGACAAGGGGAATGGCTTTAACCTGCAAGAGGGGAGACTGAGAGGAGCTCTTAGGCAGAAGCTCTTCCCTGTGAGGGTGCTGAGGCGCTGGCACAGGGTGCCCAGAGAAGCTGTGGCTGCCCCATCCCTGGCAGTGTTCAAGGCCAGGTTGGACACAGGGGCTTGGAGCAAGCTGCTCTGGTGGAAGGTGTCCCTGCCCATGGCAGGGGCTGGAACTGGATGAGCTATAAGCTCCCTTCCAACTCAAACCAGGCTGTAATTCTATGATGTTGCTGAAGCTTTTTAACTTTGTTCAGGATTTTAGGGTCAGAGGAAGCAGCTAACAAGGTGTGACCATAGGACAAAGAGGGGCTGGATTCTTCCTCCTTTTCTGCTGAATATTCAATATTGAGTATTCAGTGTGGAAGGAAGATAAAGGGAACAAGTTCTGCTGTGCTCCTGAAGGTGCACATGGCTTATCTCCAGTGTTATAAAGCATATTCTGTAAGAAGAACCAAACATAGAATTACAAAACCATAGAATGGTTTGGGTTGGAATGGACCTTAAGATCATCCAGTTCCAACCCCCTGACTTGAGGGACAGCAAAGCCCAGGAGCAAGAAGGAAAAGCTTCTTTCTAACTGCCTACTATGGCAGGGGAGAATCAAAGAAACAGATCAATGATGATGGTTATTAAACTTCTTTTTAAGGCATCTTGTTACAGTGGGTATCATGGGGAGCTGGGCTGAGAAATCAATTTTAGCCTTTTCACATGTTATTAAAAAGGAAAAGAGCCATAAACACTATTTTAACAACTTAACTCTGACAATGATGTGAGATTTCTCCTGGTTCTTTGGATCACTATTTCTAACTTGCAATACAGACTGCAGAACTATTCGCAAGTGAGAACTTTCCTACCCCAAGCAGACTCAAAAGCAAAACAGCACCGAGGAAATAAGCTGCAAGTAGACGTGTGAGAAATGTCACAAATACATAGGAATTAATTCTAAAGAAATACTGCAAACCATCACAGAACAGTCACTCAGACAAATTAATCTCACCTTTGATTATATGCTTTGAAAACTCTCTTGTGTGCTCCTCCATTGGGGTTGATGCTGATGTGTGCTTTAATGTGTGGTTTTCCATGGAATAAAGAAATCATAGAATCATAGAATGGTTTGGGTTAGAAAGTACCTTAAGATCATCCAGTTCCAACCCCTCTGCCAAGAGGCAACACTCAACAAGAACACCTCACACTAGACCATGTCATCAAGGCTCTGTCCAAACTGGCCTTGAACACTGCCAGGGATGGAGCATTTACCACTTCACTGGGCAACCCATTCCAGTGCCTCACCACCCTTAGTAGTGAAGTAAAGTACTTCTTCCTTACCTCCAACCTGAACTTCTCCTGCTTCAGTTTGAACCCAGCACCCCTTGTCCTATCACTACAGTCCCTAATGAAGAGTCCCTGTCTGGCATTCTTACAGGCCCCCTTCACACACTGGAAGGCTGCTATGAGGTCTCCACGCAGCCTTCTCTTCTCCAAGCTGAACAGCCCCAACTTTCTCAGCCTGTCTCCATACAGGAGCTGCTCCAGCCCCTGAGCTCCTCATGGGCTCCTCTGGACTTGCTCCAACAGCTCCCTGTCCTCCTTAAGTTGAGGACACCAGAACTGCACACAGTGCTTCAAGTGGGGTCTCACGAGAGCAGAGTATCATTGACTTAGTTGTGGTTTTACAATATTTTCAAGACTTTGTGGTCTGTTTTGACAAGAGAAAATGATGTGAATGCTATGGCTGTTCAGAAAGAGAAGAAAAGCTGACACAAGGGTTGTCTTACAATCAATACTCATTTCCCTGAGTCCCAAGTCAATAGTTTACATACAAATTTTACCACCAAGAAGAGGGCAGGGTGTGGGGAAGAAAAAGCAGTTTCACAACCTGCCATCAGAACTTGGCATCACATTTTGTGTGTTCATCCCAGACTTAGCCAAGGCAACAGAAGCATCAGGCTCTGGGAAGAGGATTAGGTTTCCTGAGGGAGGGCACTAAGGAGGCCTCCTCCTCCCTGACCTCTTCCTGCTGTGGGTGCTGGAGAACTGGAAATACTGGAATATGGGTTTTAATCAGGTTCTAGATATAATGTTGAGATCTTAGCTGATGTGTCCAGCAGGTCAAGGGAGCAAGAGCAGCTCTACTGTGCTCTGTGAGATCCCCCCTGCAGTCCTGCATCCAGCTCTAGGGCAGCAACACAAGAGGGACGTGGAGCTGTTGGAGCAAGTCCAGAGGAGGCCATGGAGATGCTGCGAGGGCTGGAGCAGCTCTGCTCTGGAGCCAGGCTGAGAGAGCTGGGCTGGGGCAGCCTGGACAAGAGAAGGCTCCTGAAGGGGAGACCTGAGAGCAGCTCCAGTGCCTGAAGGGGCTGCAGGAAACCTGGAGAGGGGCTTGGGACAAGGGATGTAGGGACAGGACAAGGGGAATGGCTTGAACCTGCCCGAGGGGAGACTGAGATTCAGTTATTTGCATAGGGTTTGTTTGTTTGTTTTTTAAATTAGGTATAAGAATGTGCATAATTCATGTTTCTTTCCAGGGGTCTCATGGACCGTAACGTCCAAACTAAGCTGCAGTATGATATCATTTTCGGGGTTGACAGCAGGTTAATCAGAGGTGTATTTTAAGTGAGGTTTTCCCTGTCAGGAGCCCGGTAACCCTGTGCTGGGAACAGAACGAGCAACCCCTCAGCTGTCGGATACCCCTTACCTGTAGTAGCTGCTACTCTTTGCAAGCTGGGGTTACGCTGGAGCTGTGAAGGAGCAGTTTGGTGGCGGGCGGGGGGGGGCAGGCGCGGATGCTGCAGGGGCTCTCCCCGCAGCCCTTCTCTTTTCCCGGAATCCCGGGATGGGGCGGGGAGAGGGCGGAGGCCGGGCGTGCCCCACCATTATATGGATGGGGAGCGGGACGGGAGGAGGAAAAGAGGATGGCGCTGCCCGGGGACCCCGCTGCGGCGCCGGCGTTGCGGCGCTTCACCTGGGAGGAGATCGGGGAGCGGAACGGCCGCGGGCCGGGGCCGGGGCCGAAGGAGCGATGGCTGGTGATCGAGAGGAAGGTGTACGACATCAGCCGCTTCTGCCGGAGGCACCCGGGAGGGGCCCGTCTCATCTGTAGCCACGCCGGGCAGGACGCCACGGTGAGGGCCGCGCTCGGAGATGCGGGGCGGAGGGCGCCGGTACCCGGCCGGCACCGTGGGAGGTGACTCCGGTGGGATTTAGGGCATGGAGCAGGGTCTAGGGGTATGCGGCGTCGCTTTGTACCCCTAGGCTTTGAAGTGGAAGCTTCCCAGCCTCATCCTATGGGAAATGGCAAATGAAGAGGCTTTGCAGTGGGACTGTAGCTGTTTATCCAGCTCAAGCCTTCAGGATTACTCTTTATCTCCTGATCTTGCTTCTGCACCTACTGTGAATTCCAGGGACCGCTTACAGCCAGGATAAATCAGCCCTGTGGCAAAAGTAGCTGCTTCCAGAAGCATTCCTTTAGGGAAAGCATCCCTCCAAAATGCCACCTTGGCTTAACTTGGAGGGAAATCAAAGACATGATGCTTTCCCAAGCAGAATTCCAGAGAAGTTTCTGTAGGCACAGTACGTGGTCCTTCTGAGCCTGGAGATGAACAAAATCAAAAGGATTGGCCAGTTACAAGTGTCCAGCTGCTGGGGAGTCAGTGCATGGGTGAAAGGACTTCTGCTCATCGTGTTTCCTGGCCTGACTGGTGTTTTGTTGCCGTGGAAGCTTGTGGTAAACTCACATCAAAACGTTCAGCTGATTCCCTGGAGTTCTTGCCTTCGGGTGCATGCAGGAAGGGTGGAAAATGGTGGTAAATTAACATCTACACAAAGATGTGACAAATGCGATTGCTACCTTGGTGTCTATTGTAAAAGGAAAAACCCAAGACAAATAGTTCCCTGATCCTTCATATATACAGGATGTTTGAGGCTTATGGATGTAATAATCAGTGCACTAAGCTTAAATTTCAGACTCTATTAGAATCCCAGACTGGTTTGGGGTAGAAGGGACCATAAACATCATTCAGTTCCAAGCCCCTGCCATGGGCAGGGACACCTTTAGCTGCACTTTGCATTCTGTATATTCCATCATTCATTTCTCTTGTTAGTACTGTCAGACTTCTTTCAGTTTTGCCCCCTAGAACTTGGAAAACACAGATATTTTGTTTCTGGGATCTGAACTGGTCCTTATAAGTTGGTCCCATGTCCAAATCATTTAGCCCTGCAAGGCTTCAGCTGCTTTTGTTTGACACCAACTCTACTGCCTTCACACATAAGTATGCAGCACCTTAAATAAGCTGTGCACCACAGTGGAAAAATGCTGGGGTATGGCTCTTTCTTAAGCATATGTGATTTATCTCCAGGTTAAGGGCTGTAAATGGCATTAATAGGGAGGGGGTTATATCCACGCTGAGTTGCTGCAGGAATATAGCCAGGATATTGTGGGTGAAGTAAGAAACTCCTCCTCATTACTAAGATTAGTTTCATGAGACAGTGTGAATCCAACAAGCTCTTTAGTCAGTTTGGGAGGCAGAGACAAAAAGAACTGAAGAAAGCATTGAATAAGAAAATCCTTAAGACCTTATTGAGGTCTGTACATCTTGGAACAGGTCAATTGCTTAGGTGTTTTTGCACTTATATTCTAAAAATCTTAAGAAATTATCTTAGCTTTGGTAAATTTTATCAAGACCAAATATCACCAAAAGATGATAAGTTAGAAGAGGGTGGAATACACAGAAGGCTCTCAGTAAGAAGAATATGAGGAATGGAAAACTGAGTATGATTAATGCGACGTTAGTAACACTAAGTGTAACAAAACTGTGCAGAGGAGTCCTTTTATTGCTGCTTTTTGTGGTGGTGGTGCTGTGTTTTCTCACAAAGGGCAGAAGAGCAGAGTTAGTTGTGGAATGAGGACTGAGGTGACTTAGGAAACAGGAACAACAATCTTGAGACTGGAAGTTTGGACTGCATTTGGAAAATTTGGTTGAATCTTCAAGCCTGTAAAAACATCTGGTGTTGCCACATTATGAAATAAGCAGGTAGATCATTTTGCAGAGAAAGTGTTTGCTGGTTCTTTAGATTCATCAGTGTTGTGTTTGTGTGCACTGTATGTTACATATATGCTTCAGTGTCAGCCATGTAGTTGCCCAACCTGAGTACTTTTGGAGCAGAGGACAGAAATTCTACAGCAGTTTACTCAGAGATGTGAGAAACAACTTCATTTTGTCACACAACCGTTTGCCCAGAGTAACTCTGGGGCTGGAATGCAGTGAAGCACTGATTCCAGCCTGTTCAGGATGACTACGCTGAGTTGAATGGAAGATGCCATGCAAGCAGATCAACAGGTTAAAGGCGTGGATGCACAAAAGCAATTTTCCATTGTTGGAGAATCTTAAGGGTGATTTGGACTAGACATTAGGAAATCTTCCCTGTGAGGGTGCTGAGGCACTGGCACAGGGAAGCTGTGGCTGCCCCATCCCTGGAAGTGTTCGAGGCCAGGTTGGATGGGGCTTGGAGCACCCTGCTTTAGTGGAAGGCATCCCTGCCTGTGGCAGGGGTTGGAGCTGGATGTGGTTTAGGGTCCCTTCCAACCCAAATCATTCCATGATTCCTTTCCTACAGACTGAACTCACAGCTCAGCTCAATCTCAGCTGTGCTTCAGGGCTCCAGCTGCCCCCTTCATGCCCTGCTGTCTCCTCTGCTTTTTTGCATCCTGCCCTTTCTGTCCTCAGCCCTGCCTGGAAGCTGTCACCACTGCTTTGTCACGGTTGCATCTTCAGGAGAGATTAGCAACACCAGACCTGTGCTTATGTATTAGGTCCTTGCATTCATTTCCTTCTGAATACTCCCAAGTACTAGAGAAAGTTCTCTGGTATCACTTGGTCCTCGATGAACTGCTTCCGGTCTTAGTTAATCTGGGAGTTCTCTACCCAGTGAATAAGAGGAACCACTTTTTCCTTTTAAGTATTCAGATTTAAAGGGCAATTTTCTCTTTTGACTAGTTGCACAACAACTGATTATTCAGGTACACTGATATGAAAAGTCTTTTGGCCACCTGTATGACAAGGAAGATGGAAAAGTCGCTAATATTGGGGTTGCGAAGAGGGGAAAGAAGAAAGGCAAGGGAATTAGATTGTGCTTTAGGCATACAATGGAGTTGAATTCAATTTTGTTCTCTGGAGATTGCATACCTGTAGTTATTGCAGTAGTGGAAGTCAGACCTCTTCCATTTGCCACCTGAAATAAGATCTCATTTAAGAGCATAGGATAAACACGAGAAGTAAAATGTCAACCAAAGCTTGAGGAGATAAAGGTCAAAGAGTCCTCTCTGCTGTTGTGGTTCCTCCACAGTGAATGTCTTTCTATGCACAACAGACTGAAGTTATTAACAGGGAATTTGTTTTTCTTACCTCTTCCTTTTCTCTCGTGCATTGCAGGATGCCTTTGTAGCCTTCCATGTTGACAAGGCGCTGGTGAGCAAGCACTTGAAGCCGCTGCAGATCGGGGAGCTGGCCCCAGATCAACCCAGTATTGAGCCCACTAAAAATGTAAGTCTATCTTTGTAAATCAGATCAAAGGTAGATTAAAGGGAAATATTCTGAGGAGAGACCTTGCTCAACTGTATCAGCATAGCTCCTGGAGCAATGGGAGCCAGGTTCTTCACTTTTGTGTTACTGCTCAGAAACAATACATGCGTATTAGTCTAAATCCACATTATGTGGGTGCAAATGGGATTCCTGAAAATGACTTTTAATTATCACAGCAACTCTATGTGAATAACAGAGCCTTGTTTTGCTCTCATGGAAATCACAGCTATCACCTTTTCTTCCCCTTGCTTTGATCAAAATTTGAGTAATTCTTTCTAGCTGATAGTAAATGTTCAACTCCCTTTCTTGTAGGTATCTGTAGGGAGAGACTGCAGGTAGAGTGTTTTAGCCCTGAATGATGTTTCACAGGCTGTATTGGCATTGCTGTTTTGGACAGCCCTCTTGTAGCTGTCTCAAGGTCATTCCCAGAATAATCATTCACAGAAGCACTGTTGACAGCAACGTGAGAAAACTTCATGAGAGAGGCACAGACAACAGAACAGGAATAGTCTTGGAGTACAAATATTCCCTGGGCTGTATGGTTCTTGTTGCTTCCTGCTATCCAAGACTATTTGTTTTCCCTATTCCTTATAGCCTGCCCTGACTTTTCCTTTGCATAGCCCCACACTGTACAGTGAAGGAAGATGTAAGTCAGACATCAGAAACACAATTCAGAGCAGTCTGCCTGTCCCACGATGGCACGGCCACACTTCCTATGTAGGTGGGAACCTCATGAACCCTCTTACCTTGGCCACGTCCTGCCTATTTCTCAATTCCATAGCTGGACTGCACCAGGGCTTGTGTGTACCTTGCTCCATGGAAACCCAAAGTGACTGGGAAAGCAAGGTAACAAGCTGGTTTGTGGGTTGGGCTGTACGGAGACCGGAATTAGGCTTGGGAAGCATCTGCAGAGCTGGCAAAGACAAAGATGGGTTGATCAAGCACCTTTGCTGTGCTCCTTTCTTCTTCCTTGGTGCTCACCAGCCTGAGGCCAGCTGGGCTGTAAATGTCATTTTCATACAGACCCTGTTAATCTCAGGAAGGGTAAAGTGAAAACATACATTCATCTACTGGAACTGGTCCAGAAGTGGAATAACTTCATCCAAAAGAGCTACCACAAGGTGGCATGCTATGTTAAGGCACATGCAGTACAACTTCCACTCGGCACAGCTTCCATTTGAGCCCTATGCTACCTGCCAAGAAGATGACGGAGGAAGCACCAAAGATACAGTCTTAGGAGTCTGGGGTACAGACATTGTGCCCTGAGATGGCTGCCTCTTGCTACTCTGCTCTTTGTAGACACAGGGAAGCTGTAGGAGAGCAATGATAAAGCTTACTAATGTGCAAGCCCAGATCCTTTGCCCTTGCTCCCCTCCATTGAAGTAGTGCTATACACTAGAAACAGAGAACATGTAACACTGGTGCTTCCCACAGAAAATGCTGGTGAAAGACTTCCGTGAATTGCGTGCTACTGTTGAGAAAATGGGACTTCTGGAGCCAAATCAACTCTTCTTCTTCCTGCTCCTCACTCACATCCTCCTGTTGGATACCGCTGCTTGGCTCATCCTCTTCTACTTTGGAACATCCTTCATGCCCTTTGTTGGCTCTCTGGTGGTACTGACCATTTCCCAGGTAAGCAACTACGTTCATAGCACAGGCAGATGGACTTGACTTGCACCAGCTTTCATACGCATACTACTATTGCAGTCATCTAGTCCTCCGTTTCCTTACTTGACATACCTCTTCGCCATAAGAAGACAACCACTATATGGCACGTGTATACAGATGATGTAAAGAAGGAATTCTGCATGTGGGGAGCTGCCATTAAACCTAGTCTGAGATTCTTTCAGCAAGATGTATTTGGGGGGAAGCCTTAAGAGTATCAGGATTTCATAGTTCCTTTCCAATTGTGACTTTGGAGCAATGTCTGAGCAATAGATCTCAGTATTTCAAAGCAAAGGATGGGTGTGGAACTGTCCTGATCTCAATTCCTTGTTTTTCTCCCCTCCCAATGTTTTCTTTTCCCTCTTCCAGGTCCAGGCTTCATGGTTGCAACATGATTTAGGACATCTTTCAGTATTCAGGGCAACCAAGTGGAACCACTTGCTGCATAAGTTTGTGATGTGCCACTTAATCGTAAGTACCTGGTTACTACTACTACTACTTAGATTTGATGGCTTTCCCATAAAAGTGTGGGTTCTGAAGACTGTGGAGGCCAGTGAGCTCAGCATTGAGTGAAGGAGCGGGATGGGAGGAAAGCTGGCTCTGAAAGCATTGTACTCTTCACACTTCGTTCTTCACTAAAACAGGGGGCATCAGCCAAATGGTGGACTCTCCTGCACTCCCAGCACCATGCCAAACCCAACTGCTTCCGGAAAGACCCTGATATCGATATGCACCCTTTCCTGTTTACTTTGGGGAAGAAGTTATCTGTGGAGGTCAGTGTATGTGTGTGTGTGTGTGTGTGTGTGTGTGTGTATGTGTGTGTGTGTGCACTCGTGTACCAGGAGATGGGAAGAACGCCCTGGTCAACGAAAATCTGTGCCATAAAGATCTAAAACTAAGATGTGATGACAGGCTCTGGAAAGAGATTGCTTTCATCTTGTGTCTACTTTCCTCATCCTTTGTAAGCAGCTCGCAGTTCACATAAGGGCCTTTAAAGATTTCTTGAACAGCTGACAAGTAGTTGCAAATAAATGAGACATGATGAACATGCCTCATATAGGGTGGAAAATCCATCAACAAAAAGACTGTTAATGGTTATAGCACCTTAATGACCTGGTAGAACAACTCGGTGGCCTTTATCATCATGAAACTGTCACTCAAATGTACAGAATCAGAGAAGAAAGTAGGGGCAAGAGGAAAAATACATATGACTATTTTTGACTAATCATACAACTGAGCCTTGAAATATCTAATATTTTACAAAATGAAGTAGAACATGGTAAGAACACAAACCCAAGGAAATCCACCTGTTAAAACTCCCTCTATCCACCACCAAGATACTTTTTTATCATGACTTACAGATCACGCTATCTATGGATGAAAGGTTCTGGTATAGTTTTTAGTGCATCATTCTCTTCCAGCCTAGTCAATAGTTGTATCTTTCACAGCAGTTTCCTTCCTACCACATACCAATATAGGAGTTCCTTATGGGTTGCTGTCTCTGTTCTGACTTGTCATAAACATATTTGGAACTACTTTTTGGCAATCACTTATTTTCCCTTTCTGGAGAAAAAAAAACTGGTGCTTGCTTAACTGTTTATCTCTGAAGGACTTTACAAAGCTGTAAGCCTTACTTTAATGGAATGAGAGTTTATGGTAAAGGTATGTATGTAAGCTAACAGAACAGGTACAAAGAGGGAGACGATAGGAATGAGGGCTGTGGAAGTGTGCAAGAAGAGTGCCCCTGGGGAAGAAAGAATGGACCCCAGCAGGTTACCTGTGCAGTTTGCTTAGCTTCCACTCTAATTGTTTTGCTGTTTCTTTCCACAGCTTGGGATCAAAAAGAAAAAATACATGCCATACAATCACCAACACAAATACTTCTTCATCAGTGAGTATCTTCATTCTCCTGCAATACAATGAGGGGTACCAATGGGGCTTGTAGGTCTTTTTACCTGCAGGATTTGAGCAGGACTGAGGTGTCCCCATCAAGGATCATAATAATCAATTTCCATCTAATTTTTGGAGGAATTGAAGACCTGAATTGATTAAAAACCTGAGTAACCTGGTCTAACCAAAGTATAGCTACTGCTCTTCTGAGATCCTGAGCTTCTTTCCAGCCTCAATGACCATGTGATCCTACATGAGATCATGTTTCTGTGCCCTTCCTGATTGGAAACCCATTGATTTGGTTTGAGAATTCCTAACCAAACAGCTTAAGTTTGTTCCAGGGTAGAAAAAGTAGTGGGATCATCTTAAAACTGTGGTGCTTTGCATCTATTTGGACAGAGAAAATGAGAAAGACTCTTAACGCAGTAACTAAGGAAGTTACTTGGGAGAGTGAGATGAGGGCTGCAGGGACTGTTGGTGTGAGCCGGGTAGTACATGGCTAGTGAAAGCAAACACTCACAGTTTCTTCACTGTCAGTGCTCTGATCTCTAGGCTCACCCTTGGCCTCTTCTTCCCATCTTAGTGAAGCTTTTATTCCTTTGGCAAAGCAGCACAATTTCAACACGGGACAAAGCAAAGTCACCTCTTGCAACTCTCCCGAATAGCCTGAAGTCTCAGGATGCTTGCCTGGAAAGCGGACAGTGTGACTTCAAACCATAAAACCCAGCAGAAATGGGCACTTCCAAGGTGTGATTCATGCAACCTGGTTTTGCCCTTGATCTCTGAAGACGGCAGGAACTCACTCCAACAGTGGCTTTTCTCTCAGGTCACTAAACAGATCTACCAGGGTTAGTTCAGTTGTGCATAGCTCAGATGTACAATTCAGAGATGCCTAGTTAAGGATGGTGATCCTATCCCAGATCTTCCACATCTTCCACAGTGGGTCTGGAAGATGTGGTATGACATTGTAATCAGTGGTATTCAAATTTAGATAAAAGTCTGTGGGGTTGGTTTTGTTTTAAAGTACAAGTGAGATGTCCACTTGGAAGGTTGAGTTTGCATTTGAGTTCTCACAACCTAAAATCCACGGGAGGATTTTATATGTACTCTTATTGTTCCTCTGCTTTAAGTAACAAATGGGGAGCCAAATCACCTTTGGGAAGCCACTTCTCAAACTACTCCTCTGTGGCTGTCCCTCAGTTAAAACCCTAAAATGAAATCTTAGGTTTGTAATCACCATCAGATTAATGGACAGACCTAGAAATGTTCAGAGATACTGATGTAGCATCCTGGCCAGTATCAGCCAGTTGCTCTCTTGCAAAGTGATTTGCTGTGATGCTCAGAAGGATTATTAAGTTTCTGGGGTCTTGTCCTCCTTATTTCTCAGGATTCTACACGCTCCTTTTTGTTCTCACTCTTCTGAAAGAAGCAGTGGACATAGCCTTTCTCCATGAGGAAACAGAAGGCAATGTACTGAGAGGTGACAGCAGCAGCAGGCTGTCCTGCTGAAGAGCAGGAGCTGTCCTCAGTCAAGCTTCAGAGAGTTTCTTGTCTTACCTCCGTTTTACCTCTTGAGGTCAGCAGGCTCCCATATTGCTCACTGATGCCCTGCAGTGATGCATACCGGTGTCATCCAGAAAATTCCATAGCCCTAAAACTTCTTGGGATATTCTCCATATTGAGTAACCATTGAAGGATCCTTTGCTTTCAGTTTATCTGTCACTCAGTCCATGACATTACCAGTGACAATGAGTTCTCCCTTACAGCTCTGCCTCCACTCCTGTTTCCCACCTACTTCCACTACCACACGTTTTACATCGCATACACAAAAAGGTACTGGGTGGTGAGTATTGCTGCTTCTGCAACCAGGAAGGAGTCAACTGTGGGCCTTCAACCTTTCCTCTGAACATAGAGCTAGCTTCTGCCCGGAGCTCAGCCCCTCCTGTGTGCCGTTCAGTTAAGCCTAACAGGACAGGTCAGGTTGAGGTTTGTCAGTGCCTCTGCATGCTTTCTGCTACACCATTATATTCCCCAGCTCAAACATAGGGTCCGGAAAACAAACGGCTGTTTTGGCTTGTACTCATTTGCAGAACGATGGAGTGTACCCTTTAGTTTGGGAAGCAAATTGGAAGGTCCACAGTGGTAAGAAACAGGAGGATAAGGATTTATAGGAACTGTTGTCCTTGATTTGTAAGCAGTATGCATATACTTAGCATTATTTCCTATGCAGGCAGCCAGAATTAGTGCTTTGTTCTTCCTTCTCTTGTGCATGTTATGCATGAAGGAAGACAGCGAAGTCCAGCCACAATGAGATCATTGGTGGTCCAGGACTTAGCTCACTGTGGAGACCTGGGCAATGATTTGAGACACGTCAACTCATGTTTCTGAATGCATAGTCATTCACTATTATATCAATGTAGATTAACCAGGTGTAAATCCTCACATTCATCTATGTTATAGGAAGCTGTGAGTACTATCATCTCGTGTTAACTTGGATTGCTCCAGTTCTAGTTTTGCTGATTCAATTCAACAAAAACTTACAAAAGCTAAATGTAGATTGTTCTCTGGTACATAGAACATGAAGCTTAGAAAAAGATTTAAGCAAACGTAATTTATAATGATTCTCTTGTTGGGTCTGCTTTTGGTAGGACTTGGCCTGGATGATGACTTTCTACATCAGATTCTTTTTTATTTATGGATCATTACTAGAAATAAAGAGTCTTGTGGCATATTATTTTATATTCAGGTAATCTCTCTTTAGAAAGTTCTTCAGCCTTCCTCTATATATTCTTTCCATCTGTACTTGCCTGCCTTTCCCTGCCAGTTCAAGTCTTATGTCATCGCATTGGCTCTGGAGCAAAGAGACTTCACTGAGTGCTGTTAAATACTATAAGTAATTCAGTGCTTTGGGTGTTGGGTCTGCTGCTGGTTAGAGAAAGAGATCATTTAACAGAAACAGCTTAGTCTGGGCTTGCAAGTGCTCCAGCAGCATTGGCTTAAATGGACACTACGCTCTCCACTTGGAGCATTTTACTGATTTTAATCAGTGTGGTCCTTGGCTACAGATAAAACAAGATTAATACCAGGCTCCGACAGTTTTAGAACAAACCATATTAAATAATCATGGGTTTCATAAGGAAGTATGAAACTTCCAGGTTTTGGAAGTGCTTCCAGGTGCTGGATTAGCAAGGCTGACGTTCAGCTATGTGTTTGTAAGTCTGGTTGTGGTGTTATTTCAGTGGCTCATCACTGACTTGCTTACCTGTTACTGAATTCTGGCCATTTGTCTGACTGCACAGGATGATGGAGAGCAGCTGGTTTGTCTGGGTTTCACAGATGAACCATATCCCTATGGATATTTACTATGACAAGAATTTGGACTGGATGTCTACTCAGGTAAAACATTTTCCATTCTTAAGAGTTGTGACCATACAGGTACAAATTCTAACCACAAGACGAGCAAGTTCTCTACTGAACTAAAGGTGAAAACCTGTTAGGAAGTGGGAAGTGAAGGTTAGTAGTATAATGGTATTCAGCTATGGTAACAGTAAATAGGATAGCAATGAGATGTTCATAGGCAATCTAAAATCAAAGCTAGGTCCCAGCTCTATTAAGGTGTCCATGCCCATGGCAGGGGGAATGGAACTAGGTAATCTCTAAGGTCCCTTCCAACCCAAACTATTCTATGATTCCATCCCCTAAATATACCCATCTCCTCACTTATTGCATCATTCCGTCTTGGACCTTTTCGCCTTACATGGAGATGGAAGTTTGTCTCCTGCTCTTGCAAGAGCAATTACACTAGTAGAATAGTAGTGTGGTGTCCCCTCTTTGCAGAGAGACTTACTGGAGTCCAGCAGAGCAGTCTGACCACACAGAAGTACTCTGCCATCTCTGCTTTTTCTGCAGACATAGGTTTGAGAAGACCCAGGAGGAACTTCTGACTGTTCACATGCACTCACAGGAGCACAGAGCCAACTCTTACTCTTACCATGGTTCATGTTAGTCTATGTACATAGACTATGTACATGTTTATGTGCATCCACAAAGCTGAAGGAGGATTATGAGCCCTGGCTTGATGTAGCTCAGCGTAGGCTGAGAGAAAACAACAGAGTAGCACAGCATATTGTGCTCTTTAGAGAAAGGCTGCAGTCACCAACCTGTGCTGACTTTGCTTTCCTTTCCTCTTTGCTAGCTCCAGGCCACATGCAATGTTGAGCAGTCCCTATTCAATGACTGGTTTACTGGGCATCTGAACTTCCAGATTGAACATCAGTGAGTATGCACCCCAAAAGAGAATTTTCTTCCCTCTTTAAGTATTTTTCTTTTCTTGTTTTTCTTGTCCCTGTTCTTCTTTGCTCTGAATTCTATGAAGAGTTCTGGGGCATCAATGAGTTTGTCTTTTAAAAGGCTGAAAACCCTAAACAGGATCACAATGTAACTCAAAACCTTCACTAGACCTCACTAGGAAGGCGAGAATGCCAAGTGAAAACTGAACATGGGCAGGACCTATGAAATCATAGATAGCAACAAGGTCTATCCAGAGCAGTAGCTTGTAAGCATTAGTGAACATGTACATACTAAAGCGCTCTGATTATAGTCTGACACTGTAGTTTAAGCCTACCTGTACTAACTACTTACGCTATTACTCTAGAGACTGAGATACACAGGTGAAGAATGGGCTTGAGATTTTGTCTGTCTCCTGTTCACAGCCTGTTTCCTACAATGCCAAGACACAACTACTGGAAGGTGGCTCCTCTGGTGAAGTCCTTGTGTGCCAAACATGGCATCGAGTACCAATGCAAGCCATTGCTCACAGCTTTTGCAGACATTGTCCAGTAAGTACAACACACAGGCCAAAGAATTGCAGGAGGATGTAGGCAAGATTGGAATACGAAGAACAAGAATTGTCTTGTTCTCTCACAAATCAACACACACAAACCCTCATTTCCCCTGTCCCCACCAATATTCTCCTAAGTAACCCTGCATAATGTGGCCTCCTGTGCTTTCTCTTTCTCTCAGCTCCCTGAAGAGCTCAGGAGATCTCTGGCTTGATGCCTACCTACACAAATAAGAAGATGATGGTGTCCACTTGGTGATGGTACCATTCACAGCCTGCCACTTCATTGCATTCCCAGCAAGTTGAGGACCAGGGACTACAAGGGACTCTATGGCAGAAAAAGATGGATAAGAACTGAAGGATACGATTCCAATAGATAAGAAGTTAATTGAATTTTGCTTCTGGTTTTGCCTGGTGTTTTGGTTCAGATATGTTAGGAGTGCCTTTTAGATATTTCTGGGTGATGCCTGGACAAACCCAAAGCACTAAGCAAGCAATGGTGCACATCATAGGGCCCTCATAGACCACTGCAGGTCAATTAGCTGCAGGGTCAGTATTGAGACAAGGATTAGAATAACAGCTAAATTTAGAGTAAGATTTCAGAGTTAGTGTGAGGCACTGGCTAAGCCAGAATCCGGGTCCAAAGCAGATGCACACTGACTAGGGCTCCCACATAGCAGTGGCCAGGAAGATATAAAACATCAGCTTACCCAAAGAGCTTTTGAAGCAGATCCAACAGCAGCTGGATTGCTGAGGCTTTCGTGCTTCCTGGTGTGATCCAAGGAACAACCACACTGTGATGGAGGAGGAAGGAGGAGCACTCTCACTGCCAGCTAGGGAACATTTTGCTCATAGGTGTATGAGTTATGGGTTGTAAAGTTATGAAATCTTATGACCAGTGTGGTGAATAAGTGGATTCACATGCTAGAGCAGTCTAGGCAACAGGGGACTGAGCCCCTGTTTGCCATGGGGTTTTGTCATGTTTCTTAATGAACTCATGAAATAAAGTTTAAATCACACAGCACATTGCCCTCTAACTTGGACAGACCCAAATGGACCCTAACACAGGGGAACTGAGCCTGACACAAAACACAATAGGTCGGAACCTAAACCCCAATGGTCTTAACCCTCAACCTGATCCTAATAGGCCCCAACACTAAGCTAACCCTAACTGTAATGGCCCTAACCATAATACTAACTCTTAGGCCCTGACCCTAATAGTAACTCAAACCCAAATAGGCCCCAACTACAACACTGACCCTGAACTCCCCTTCCTTAGTGGCTGTAACCCAAACACCAATAGGTCCTAAACCTTACCTTAGCCCTAGCTTTGATGTCCCTAACCCTAAACATAATACTAACAGAGTGTAACACTAAGCATAACTCTAATCCTAATGACCCTAACCTAACCCCAACCCTAAAAATTACAGTCACTAACCGCAAACCCTGATGGGCACTAACTCTAAGATCAATACTAATAGGCCCTAGCCTAAACCTAACCCTAATGGCTCTAGCACTAAACCTAATCCATTGAAACAGATTTGAGAATTTTTTAACCCAATATAGTAAACCACAATTTTTACTTCCTGTGCCTTGATACATAGGAAGGAGTTTATATTAGTTACTGGAGCTCATTCCTAGTGTATAGTTACAGAAAGTCACATCATGTTCCTAAGCATCCTGGAAAGTCTTGGGAGGCAGTAAGCTTCCTTGCTTCCCGGTGACGTTTACAGCTCTTAACATGAACCTGAGAGTTAGGATTACAAATGCAATCAAGTGACACAGGCGGGAGAAGAAAGCAGGGAAAAGGGTGAAGCTGTATAGTTGCTTTGACAAGCCTGGCTTGCAGGAACAAGTCATGTGAACTCATCATGATGCAAAGCTGCTTAACCCAAACTACATCCTGGCTACCTTTTGAATCAGCATCACACAGGGCTGAGTGCTGGCCATATGTATATATATATTTTTTTTTTTTAATATATATATTAAATATATATATATATTTGGACTCAAGCAAGGCCACATAATGTAAGGGAACAAAAGTACAGGATCCAGAATCAAGGTTTTAAGTGAGACGTGCACTTGTGTGTGTCAAAGCTTACTAAGACAAGACTTATTAAGCTCAAGCTTATTAAGGCAGCTTTGAGAGTTGAAGAGTAAACTGAATTATGAGTGGACTCAAGAGTTTGGCTCTCCCAGGCAGAAGGTAATTCAGAGAAAGAGGCTAATCTGAGTACTTTGAATCACCCTTGAGAGGAGGCAGTATCTTTCCATCAAACAGTAAGAGAGCGTGTTCTTTATCTGAAGTGAGTATGATCGGGAATGTATACTCAGACCCTGAAAGAGAAGACTGACTTTGGGAAAGGGGACTTTGGGAACACAAAAATCCATTTGAGCATCAGCAATTAAGATCACTTTCTTACAATAATGAAAGTGATGAGGTTAATAAATAGAGATCTCACCTGGTAACAAACAAAATATGAGAAAGCCTCTGGTTAGATAATGACTGGACTTTGTATTGTTTGTGCAAGAATTGAATTACATGTGTCATGCTCAGCACCAACTTTTACTTAAAACCTTTAACCCAGTACAGTGAGCCAGAACATGTAAAAGATTTCTTATTAAACCATTTTCTGCTTGGAAAATGTGCAATGCTGTTTAGAGGTTAACAGCATGAGGTAAAATTCCCAACCCAGGAGAGTAAAAGAAGCGATTCCTGAAAACTTTATGGGAGCAAAGAAAGACACAAAATGCTATCAGTTATTAAAAAACACATTTCCACTATTTTAAAAAGCCTTTTAGAATTACATTGAGTAGCTGAAAATCATTTCTGTGGGTAGATGGGAAGCTGGATTTTGAAGACCAGCATCTGATACCTGGACTTTGGGAATCATTTGGCTTCTCATGCTCTCTCAAGTCAAAAAGCAAGTCAAAATGCACTTAAAAACCCAAAAAGCTGCAAATGTTTCCATTAACGGGGGCCCAACAGCGTGCAAATGAGGAAAATCATGCAAGAAGGTTGAGCAAGACTGAGATGAAGAGCTGTGGATAAATGCAAAATAAAGCCTAAGCAATATGGATCAACACCAGAGCAAATAGTTGTTGTCAGATTTTCTCCAGGTATCTCCAACCAATCCTATAGCATGGTAGATAATATAGGTTTAGATGAAAGGCTGCCTGTATTACCTCAGGATGATAATTAATAGCTTGGTGAGATTTTACAAGGTAGATATCACCGAGACAACCAAGGAAGGAAACAGATAAAAATACATTGCACAACCTAATAGAAAAGCATAAAACCAAAATGACTCATATAGAGGTTATGGTACATGAAAACAGAGTGGAAGTAGAATCAGCAGCACCACCACTGGAGAATCTTCTCTAAACATGAAGAAGATGGAAATAATATAAAATATCAACCAAATATTCTAAAATTCAGCCTTTATTCCTGTAAGTCTGAAATGTAAATTCCATTAATTTCCAATGATTGTATCTTGAAATCCAAGGTCCAGGACAGACAGCTTTTATCAGTAATAATATTGAGTTTGAATGAAAAATGAAGCATTTTTTCCAATATCTCTCTGGAAAAAGGTGTTTCAAGAAATATTGGTGCACTTGACAAATTTCATTTTATATATGGCACCTCAAATTAATAACTAGATATTAAGTAAATTAATATAATAATTAGATACTAAGTAAATTAAGCACAATCATAGTCTTCTGTGTTATAAAGCTGAATGGTACATAATAAAACCCCCTTAATCATAGAATAGTTAGGGTTGGAAAGGACCTTAAGATCATTCAGTTCCAACCCCCCTGCCATGGGCAGGGACACCTCACACTAAACCATGTCACCCAAGGCTCTGTCCAACCCAGCCTTGAACACTGCCAGGGATGGAGCATTCACAACCTCCCTGGGCAACCCATTCCAGTGCCTTACCACCCTAACAGGAAAGAATTTCTCCCTTATATCCAATCTGAACTTCCCCTGTTTAAGTTTTAACCCGTTATCCCTTGTCCTATCACTACAGTCCCTAATGAAGAGTCCCTCCCCAGCATCCCTACAGCCCTTCAGATACTGGAAGGCTGCTCTGAGGTCTCCATGCAGCCTTCTCTTCTCCGGGCTGAACAGCCCCAATAATCTTTAAACAACTGATGTATCTATTAAAATGCTGACAGATCTTAGCCAAACTTTTTATAGTATAATCACTGTTTATTTCATGGAAGCACTGAAAGCATTCCTCATCCCGCAGTCCTAAGAAACTTGCACATATGCACCTATCAGAGGCAGAACTTCACTAAAACACCCTTATAACTTATTTGTTTTAAATCTAAAGAAAGTGCTGCATTTAGGAAAAGCAATGAGTGTCCAAAGCACCTTGGTCTCTGCACACATGCAACGAGCAAGGAAAAAGGAGGAGTGATTTCCTCATTCTTGCTTTTCCAACCTCCAAAGTTTAGGCATTGTCCAGACCCTGAAGACAGTAAGAGAACTACAAATAGGCAGAGCCCCATGCTTTTATCTCCTTTGTATGTGCCAATTTTGATTTTTCCCCCCTCACCCCAAGCTACACAAAAGGTAACAGCAGGCTTATTGCCTTGTTTAACAGAAATATTAGAAGAAAAACGTGCAAGCGACTCAAAACATGTTAGGCTTCTGTTAAAGATTACACCTTTAGGTGGAGCAGGTATTGTGTAATTTAAAGCAGCACTCGTTTGGCCAGCTTCCTTGCCAGGGTTTAGGCTCCTTCCACTTGAGCAGAGGCAGTTGGAACAGGTCATGCAGACCTCTGCTCAGGCAGGGGGCCAGCCATGCACCGTTTGGGCAGACATTGGCTAAAGCAGGCAACAAAAGATGGTGTTTGGTCAAACAGGCAATTTACTTTGCATAGTCTCCTTTGATCTATTATATCAAGGCACTGCTAATGTGAAGAAACAACATGTTTCATGGAGTTGTTTTCTAAAAGTGAGGAGGAACCAAGAGAAGGCTGGATGTGATCAACCAGGGTGAAGTACCTGCAGAGGACTGAATAAAGCACGCTGAAGGGAAGGCAAGAGATGGGGGTTTAGGTTCAGCTCTCCCAGTGGTCTGTCTCCTGGACACCCTCACAACCTTGCATACCACCACAACATAGAAAAGGAGATGCCAATTTCCACAAGAACTCAGTCACCTGCTTCTTCACACACTTCCAATGGCAACCCCAGCAGCACCTGAGAGTGAAAGCCAGGCTTTA